TGTTATATATCTGTACTTAAGAATCCTACTGAGAATTCTCAACATGCGCCTAGCTAATGGTCATAAATAAGCACATATTCTATGCAGAGTAGTTAATTTTATATTTTTAAGATAAAGTGTGATAATAGAGACCTGAAATAGAACATGAATTGCTAAGTACAGAGATTGGAATAGGAATAATTTATAAGAAAATACCACTAAATAAGTCATATATAGTATGTATGAATAATATGTTTACTAATTATAAATATATAATTTTTACTATAATTAAATAATAATTGTAGAAATGAGATGTGGAAGTTTTGGAAAAATTTATGTACTTGCTTCAGGCAACTGAGACACTTGAGGAAGATTTACTTTAATCCACAAATACTGAAATGGATAAAATCTCAAGATTTTTAGCAATTCTTTGAATCACTAGGTAGAAAAAAATTCTGGACACATCTGGATTCAGCTGACAAGAACACTAGGGTGGAAGAAAAATATATATACAATGTCCTGTGGAGGGGTGCTTTTGCTATCATGATTGTCATGTATTTGCATTCCCAGTCTTCAAATTTGTCATTTAAATAGTTCAAATTTTATGTGTATGTATCTCCAAAGCCTAATTTGATTTTTTTCAAAAACAGTCATGCATAGCAGTCTAGATATGTTCTGATAAGTCTACTTACACATAGAGGCTTAAGTCTAGTGTACATCTAGGGTATTGCTTTTTGCTTACAAACCTGCACAGCTTATTATAGTACAGAATATTTCAAGCAAGAATAACACAGTGTTAAGGAATTGTGTACCTAAACATTTCTAAACATCAACAAGGAACAATAAAAATGCAGTATAAAAGATACAACATGAGGTTGGGCATGCCTGTTAATTCCAATAGCTCGGGCGGCTGAAGCAGGAGAATCGAAAGTTCAAAACCAGCCTCAACAAAAGGTGCTAATCAACTCAATGAGACCCTGTCTCTAAATAAAATACAAAATAGAGGTGAGGATGTGGCTTACTTGTCTAGTGCCCCTGAGTTCAATGTGGCTTACTGGTCTAGTGCCCCTGAGTTCAATCTCCCACCAAAAAAAGATATAACATGATGCACTTGTACAGTGCACCTACCATAAATGGAACTGCAAAACTCGAAGTTGCCCTGGTTGAGTCAGTAGAGAGTGAGTGGTGAGTGCACCACTATAGACCTCATAAACACTGTGTACTTAGGCAACACTAAATTTATTTAAAACTTTCCCTCAGTAAGTTAATAATAAACTAAACTTACTATAAATTATTTTTTAATATTTAAAGTTATCCACCTTTTTTGTAATACATTAGCTTAATAAACACATTATGCAGTTGTACTAAAATATTTTTTCTTTATATCTTTATAAATGTTTTTCTATTTCTAAATTTAGAAATTTTCCATTGTTAATGTGTTTTTACTTGTTTAAACTTTTTTGTTGAAATGAAGACACAAACACACACATTAGCCTGACCAACTCAGGGTCTAGATCATCAATATCACTTCTTTCACTTTCTTATCTTGTCCCACTGGCAGGTCTTCAGGCCAATAACACATATTGAGCTGTCATCTCCTAGGATAAGAATGCCTTTTTCCAGAAAACTTTCTGAAAAGCTTTCCTGGGCTGGACCACCTTTGATCTTTATTTTAGGTACATTGGGATGGCTGCGAGTGATGCCTTGTGCCTGCAATCTCAGAGGCTTGGCTTGGGAGGTTGAGGCAGGAGAATCAAGAATTCAAAGCCAGACTCAGCAACTTATTAAGGTCTGAAGCAACTTAGCAAGACCTCATATCAAAATAAATACTAAAAGGACTGGGGATGTAGCTCCGTGGTTGAGCGCCCTGGGTTTAATCCCTGATACTGAGAAAAATAATGAAGTAGTAACTCTGGAATCTCATGAAACTGAGAACAAAAAAGGTTAATTTGTCAATGATGTCACTCAATTTTATGGCATGGGTGGGATATGTGTCGTCTTGACTTCATGAAGGACTTGAATATAGTTATGGAAAATGTGTTTGGTGGTGATATTAATATGAAGTACTCTGTGTTCTCTGTGCACGTGAGTAGCATTCTTATGCAATATTCTTTCTAGTGAGAAAATATGTGTATATACATGTGTTTGAAGTTTAGCATACACATGAATAATTTAAACATTACTGATAAAGCTTTTGTAAGCAAACTGATTTTTGTTTACATAATTTTCCATGAATCACTATAAAATGTAGATCCTTGTAAAAATGAAATTACACACTTTACATATCTGTGCATTTATATATTGGCCACATCTACATAAAAATAAACTCAAGGCAAATATCAGAGACAATTCAGATTTGCTTATATATAGTAATGCTAGATGATTATTTAATTTGGGATTCTTTTCATTAATAGCACTTATGAAAACAATGCATCTAAATATCTATAAATTCTGTATAATCGAAACACAGTAGTATCTAATGTAGATCTGCACTTATTACTCAATAAGGAACATTCAGTGATTTTTATCTTGCTGAGAATAATACCCTTTATGATCATGTCTGTGGCTCTTTCTATTTTGGATAATACTTTTATTTTGTGCCTCTTTTTCTACCTCTTTTTACTAATTAACTTGAACCTAGCCAGCCCATGCAATATTTTTTCATGTTCAGTGTTTTAATCTATAGGAAAATATGCTCTTTTCCAGCATACTTTCTGGAATCCTTGCTGTGTTACTTGTTAATGACTACAGCCTCATGATGCTGATCCTTCTGGCTCTCTCTAGCTTAACTGGCTGGGTCTATGTTCTGTGTGTTGAATAATGAGAAAATGATTACATTACTCTATAGGTGGGAAGTCACCCTCTGCCTGCAGTCATATCCGAAAAAGGGGCCCCTAATGTGTAGCATCGTTAAACATCTCCAAAGAAACATCCTCCTGAGGCATCTCTCCTCTAAGCACGAATGTTCCATATTTGACTAAAATTTGTTGGAAATAAAAATTAATATTAGGTATTTTCTTGAACATTTCATTCATTTACGTGTATACATTAAAGTGAAATTGTGTTTTTTGCTATTATATCAGTATTAACTGATAGAACTGATAGTTCTCCTTGGGATGCTGGTCATACAAGAAAGTGAATGCTGAAGATTTCACCATTTCTACAGCCTAACATAAAACTCCTGTCTGAATGGGGAATGGAGATAAAATGAGGGCATTGTGGAAAGAACACGTGTCACTCATCTATCCAGCCTCCACTAGACCAAACATCATGAGGGAGAATAGTCATTCCTGGGCAAGAAACTTTGAGGGACAGAAGCCTAGAGTCACTGAAGTTTTCTTGGTATATTCACTGGTCTCTTGGAAGCTTTCCCCAATAAATCATGTCTCCCATGCTGTCTCTGGGTACTTTATTTGGCTTTCCTGCATCAGATTCCACTGCATTGGCATCACTGGGCTTTGGGCATAACATATATCTACTGATAATCTATCTATCTATTAATCATATAGTTATAATTAAAGTACTTGTTTTGATAAAACCAGATATTTTTAAGAAGATAGTACTCCTGTAGTAGATTTAAAATTTGATTTAGTTTTCTTTAGTCAAAAGTCATTCTTTGAAAATAACAAATTGGGATCTAAAATCATGTTAAATATTAAAAAGCCATCAATTTCTTATGGATTTAAAAGTTTGATCATATAAATGTTAAACTTTAAATATATTAATATTTTATCTTGATAACAAAAATAGCACATGCTCATTGCAACTTTAATATATGTGCAATTGAAAATGCTAAGTATCTAAAATAGAGCCACTTCTAGGCCCGTATTGTAGCAAGAGCAGCTAAGAAATTTGAAGCAGATTTGTTGATATTAAAGTGTAAAATATGATTAAGATGTGAATAAAAGATGGAATCTCCAAAATGAAATGTTTTGATAGTTGCTGAATATGTATTATATAGTATATATAAATCAAATAGGTTTATTTATTGAATCATAAAAAGACAAAAGGAAGAATTATATACATAAATGTTTCCCATTCCTATTGTCATAGATCTACATGAGAAAAACATGCTGTCACATAGGTTCCCTCCCAACAGATATGATATTAGTCAGCTCTTTTAGACTGTCAACACCCATCTCACCTCAGTCTTTTACAAAGACATTAGCAGGCCAGAAATTTGGGTTTTATTGAGCCTCATTGTAATAACTGTATTATTGTTTACACTAGAATTTTTTTTATGTGTACCTTTCTTATTAGATGAAAATGAGAAAACACAGTCATTTATAAATATATGGTTCACTGTCACCCATTTCAAATTTCCTCAAAACTCTTCATATTCTGCAAAAAGAACCCTAAATTGTTTATTATAGATTAATAGACTTAGAAGAGACTTCACATTCTATATATGGCTGTCTTTCCAAATATTCCACAGTACTATGTTCAAGAGTGTATAGGAATAACTGACATGGTGATTTTAAATTCCTTTTATTTTAGGGATAGTGAGGTAAGAGTAGTGTGTAAGTTATTATATCATATTAAAAGAAGAGTTTTAATCCTTATTTAATTTTGATGTCTTCACTTGGCTCTAGTTATGTCTCAGACTGGAGGGAAAATAAAAGAACAAGTTATTAGAAATATGTTCCATCCTGAATTTAATGTCAACTCTAATTTCACATTTTAGCATATTCTACCATCTATCCATCTATCAAAAGTAAATAAGGAATATATACATACAGCAATCATGACCAAACATGAATAAAATTCCAGAGGCACAAAGATGACAATTTCAGCCAAAAATACTGAATACAATTGAAAAGCATAACATTTTGATGCAACTCAAATGAAATTTCAATTAGAATTTTGTCTTTAACATGCTACATTATTCCAAGTATCAGTATTTTTTATTGCTTTCATTGTGTACAACAAAGTGTCCCCTATAGTACATTCTAAGCATGATAGCTAAAGACATCTTTAGACATATTATTTCAGTATTAGAATTCTTAAATTATCTTACATACCATTTCTAAGTTGTCCTCCAAATCCTTTCTATATTATGCTTCAGTCACTTTATGTGATGGTCAATACCCAAAAATACTCTTCCAGAAAATCTGCATTCATGTAGATTCTATAAATTTAAGGTGAAATAATTTCAGAGTTTGAGATAAATTGTAAGATCATTAGAGATTTGCTAAAAAAAAAAAAAGCAAATTACCAGGAATGTTTCTAAATTACAACAAAATTTTAAATTCAGATAGGCATTATTCTCAAAGCACCTTCAGGGTGCTTCAGATAGAGGGATAAAAACTGAGTGAAGGAAAATTAACATCAAGGATGTGCAGGGTAATATTAAGCAATCTAATAAACACGTATCTGGAATAATAGTCAATGAGAGAGAATGTGTAAAATATATTTTTACAGAAATCAAAGTACAGATTTCCTAAACTTAACACAATGCACCAATTTGCCTAAACTACTAGCTTATTAAAATTCAAACATGATGACTTTTGACACATAATGGTTAAAGTATTGAAAATTGGACATAATAATACATTGCATTTAGAAACTTAGAAAGGAGGCAAAAAGTTACACTTTACTCAGCAAACTGGAGATAAAAATTATCATTTTCTATTTAAAATATGGAAGACAAGATTTGTGGAAGCATATCTATAAAGTAACAAATGTAAAAAAATAATTTTTCAATTTAGTATTGTAATTGAAACCAGTATTTAAGTTTTATTTCTTTCAAATTTTTTAAAAAAATAGTTATTAATAGATATTTATTTTATTTATTTATTTTTATGTGGTGCTGAGGATCGAACCCAGTGCCTCACACAGGCTAAGCAAGCACTCTACCACTAAGCCACATCCTCATCCCATTAATTTTTAATTTTAATTGACAAAAATATATGAACTTATGGTAAATCATGTAATGTTCTATTAAATAAACTGATTGGGCAATGTTTAAATCAGAGTAAACATATCTATCTCCTTAAATACTTATTACTTTTTTGGTGAAAAGAAGCATAAGGTTTTAGAAGTATACAGTATGTTTTCTTTATCTTTGGTTATAGGTAGTGTAAAGGATAATATCAAAATTTATTTCTCCTGAGTATATCTTAGAAACTTAACAACGTCTTAATAATGTCTTCTTTCTATCCCACATATGAATGAGATCATGATTTCTATTGATACACTTCAGAAACAGGGATTTTAAAAAATATTCAGATGTATAAATATTTCAAGAATTTGTTACTAAGTTTGTATTTGAATATGTTAAAAAAAGATGTTTTAAAAGTGACAAGTATAAGCACAACCATAATAGTTTGTACATTCTTAAATTTCATAATTACCTTAAAAATACTCTATAAAAGACATAAATTCTAACATTATGAGGTAAGATTATATAAGGATACAAAATGATAATAAGGATCACAATGGAGAAGACAGTTTCTGTTAGTCATCTTTCTGTTGCTATTACAAAATACCTAGGGAAATCAATTTAGGAGGAAAATTGATTTTGGCTTGTTATGGTTTGTATGTGAGGTGTCCCCCCAAAACTCATATGAGAGACATTGCAAAAAAGTTCAGAGGAGAAATGATTGGGTTAGGAGATCCTTAACCCAATCAGTGAAATCATCCACTGAGTGGTAACTGTAAGCAGGTAGGGCGTGACTAGAGGAGGGTTAGGTCATTAGGGTTGTTCTTTGTGGTATATATTTTGTATCTGGTGAAGAAAGTCTCTTTCTCTCTCTGCTTTCTTATCATCATGTGAGCCACATCCCTCCATTACACTCTTCCACCATGGTATTTAGCCCTGAGTAATGGAGTATCAAGCCCTGAGTAATGGAGCCAGCTGTCTATGAAAGAAGACCTCTGAAACTGTGAGCCCCAATAAACTATCCCTCCTCTATATGTTCTTGTCATATCTTTTAGACACCGCTGTGAGAAAGATGACTAAAACATGGCTCATGGTTGCAGAGGTAGCTTAGTAGCATTATTTTGGTTCCATGGTGAGGCAGGATATTACGGGAGGAGGAAGCACATAGTGGAACAAAACTGACAACCTTATGGCAGCTAGGAGGAGAAGAGAGAAACTGAAGGGGCCAAGATCCCAATTTTTCTTTGAAGGCACATCCCCAGTGACCTAACTTCCTTCCACTAGACTCCACCTCTTAAAGGTTCCACCACTTCCCAAAGTGCCACAGGATTATGTCCAAAAGTTTAGCATATATACCTTTGAGGGACATTTCAGATCCAAATGATAGCACCATTGCATAAAATTATACTGCTATATATTGAGTTGTGTAGTGAAAAGCAAAAATCATGAATTTTCTAGAGGAAGAAGAACACAGTAAATATGAAGAATTGGGTGACAATTCTGAAGAGTGAGGAGATATAAAGTTGCCCTGAATATACTTTAGTGAATTAGGGATTCACATTATTTACCCTAGGGTAACAAGTAAAACTAAAAATAAATATTAGTATAGCTACAAATGGCAATGCTAAAAACTATTAATAACACATATAATAAGGAATATATAAATTGAAAACCAATGAAAATAATAATGGAAATGAGTCAGTTATCTGAAATTAATAACAATTTCAACTATGTATATATATATGAACTATATCAACTATATTGGGGGCTCACAGTTTCAGGGGTCTATGTCCATAGACAGCTGGCTCTATTCCTTGGGGCTTGAGATAAGACTGAATATCATGGCAGAAGAGTATGGCAAACAGATACAGCTCACGTATGGAATGGCTTTCCCAGAACAAAGAAAAGGTCAGAAGATCAAAATTTGTATGTGAGGTGTCCCCCAAAAGTTCATATGAGAGACATGTAACCAAAAGTGACAGAAATAAAGAAATAGACAAATCTAAAATCATACTAGGAGATCCCATCCTCATTTTATCAAGAATTACTAAAATACGTAAGAATTGAGGGCTGGGGTTGTGGCTCAGCAGCAGAGCTCTCACCTACCACGTTGAGGCCCTGGGTATGATCCTCACCACCACATAAAAATAAATAAACAAAATAAAGGTATTGTGTACAACTAAAAATAAATATTTTTTTAAAAGAATTGAAAACAAAATAGAAGATCTAATAGCACTATAATCAACTTGACCTAATTGACATTTAAAGAGCATTGCACTCTGCAGAATTCACTTTCTTTTAAAATGAATTTTATAGGAAATGCTGAACCAAGTGAATCTATTCTATAATAATAAAAATCAGATTAGTCATTTTCTGGCTAGGAGAGATTAACTTCAAAGGTCATTGATAAAATTTTTGTGAATATGTAAATATTTTATCTATTGAATTCATGGTATGTAAGTTATAACTGAGTAGAATTTATTGAAAAAGTGAAGTTCTTATACAATGAAGTTATACCTTTAGCAACTGTTTCAAAACTAGATAATATTCAGGATAATCTACATTAGCCATATGGATGTTGTGTTTGCTACCCACTTCACTTAATATTGCTGTATTTTATATTTTGTTTCCTGTTGTTCATCTCATAACCTTACATTCATAAAACCAGGCTGAGTGTTGTTATTCAAATTTTTACATATGAATGTATTAGTTTTAGCTTCTAGATTGATCACTTACTGAGAAAAAAATTTATTAAAATAAAAACTACAATGTGAGAAATTTTCAGCTTCTTTTTGTAATTCCATCAAGTGTCACTTTGAAGACACATGATTATTAGTAAAAATAAATTGTATGGCAAGTGAATTTTTTATAAATAAATAACTCTTGACTAAAGAAGGCTCACTTCACTCCAAAATATACTCAATTCTAAATTCTTATAATTATGAATTATGCCTAATATGCAGGAAAATGAAAAATGCATTCAGGCGCATCCTAATCTGAGAGAGATAGATGGAAATTTAGCCAGAAACAAAGCAAATAGTAGTACAAGAACAGAGAGGAAGAATAAAAATTATTACATATTTAATTGATTAGTCTAATCTCTTACAAGATATTTATCTTAATTTGGTTTTCAAAACATTTGCTTTGATGTCCTTAGAAAATATTATATGTTTAATTATCATAAGTACATCTTAAGCACCTAAAATCAAACAATTAGAATGACTTTATGATCTACACATTAATAATCTTTTGTTTGAAAACAAAACAAAAGTAATTCAGTTTGTAACTTTATGTTTGCATAAATATTGTATTAAATGCATTACACAAAATATATATATAGTCTAGGGGAGTCCAGCTAATTCAAATAAGAAACAAAATGAATAACCAGCCATGAAAGTAGAGGCAGACAGATAAACAATTCATCTGTATTATGTTCTAATTTACTGTAATTGCATCAAGTTTACATGAATAGAAGATTAAAAAAAAAAGATTGATCAATACAGCAGAGCATATATCCAAATTAAAATGACCTGAGATAGGTTATAGAAATGAGCAGGTAGGAGGACTGAGAGTTTATTTTGTGAACATAAAGTCACATCAATTATTTTCTGGTGTAATAATTGTGATTTAGACTTTCAATTTGTGGACCTGCATACATTGCCACAACATGCACAGCCAGTAATTCAGAAACCAAAGAGGTGACAAGGGATGAAGAAAAGACAAAGAGACACACATAGAGAAAAAAAGCTGGGGCCAGGTGGGCAGTCACACTCTGATGGAGCTCCACTAACCAGAGCTAGCTCAGCATGTTTATTATATAGGTTTCCTCAAACGGAAACCTATATAACACTAGGTGAGAAAGTTTCAGCAAAGCAGACAATCTGAAGGATGCCCACAAAATATTGGAAGACAACAATGTCACCTTGTTATGCCCATAATTCTCTATCCCTGGGAGTTTGTGACTGAGCTCAAAATTCCAACTGATACAGCTGCATAACTTCCCATGGCTTCCCATAACTTCCCATAACTTCCCATAACTTCCCATCCTTTGGCCTTAGCAACTGGGCCATCTTGACAGGAAGTTCCCAGTGTAAAGGCAGCCATGAGGGAGTCAGAAACCATGGTTCAAGTCACTGTTCTTCATAATAATCTTTGTCCATGTGTACCAGACAAGAGCCCTTTTATTTTGAAATGCTTGAAACTATTGAACCAGATGTTTTATCAGCTCAATGAAAAAGTTGAATTCA